TGTGTGTGTGTGTGTGTGTGTGTGTGTGTGTGTGTGTGTGTGTGTGTGTGTGCAGGTGCACCCTAGAAGTGTTGACTAATGTTCTGGTTGCGTTGATATGATCAGCTTCTCACCTCAAGTCTAACAGACGTAGGCAGGTGTGTCTCCAGTTGTTCAAAATGACTCCTCACTAACACTCTAATGTCCACATCAACGTCCTCAGTTTTTGTTCTTTCTTTATTATTGCACATATATCTTCATACTCCTGTCTCTCTACCTCTCTATCTCCTTCTGCACGTGTGTGTTTAAGTTTGTATGTGTCTGTTGCAGTGGGGGCTGGGAGTGGGGGGAATGCCATCGTACATAAAAGGTCAAAACAATGCGACATGTCTATCCCCCATAATGCAACGCTCCAGGCAAATCCAGACGGCATGCCCCCATTTCACACACACACACTCACACACACTCACACACACAGATGGGACAGTGAGCACAGAAGCCATTCTGATGAAAGCAGACATGACTGAGACGTCCAGAGGTTTATTTTACCTTCCTATAATCTACTTATGGACTGGTAAGAGCTCTTAATCTCTCATACATGACTCCTGTAAATGATGGATAGTATGAATCAGTCAGTGAGAAAGTTTAACAGCATTGTTCAGAAGAATATACACTTCCAATGTGTGCGCTTTTGTTTTTTCAAATTTCAAAAGATTTTTTAAAAGACAGAGGCAGAAGCCTGCATATAAGAGGATGGAGACCTTCTTCCGAAATGACTACATTAAAATCATTAAGTAACAGCAGCAGTTTGCAAATATAATTTTAACGCACAGTTTGTAACATCATTACATTTATATATTAAGAAATAAGGTTAAATTCATTTTCACCTCATTTTTACCTGAGGTTATATTTTCATCATCTTGTTTTGTTTGTTTGTAAGCAAGATTATGCCGCAACAACTGGACGGATTTCCATGAAACTTAGTGGAGGAATGTTTTGGGTCATAAGGATCATAACACACAAACATTTTGGGGCAGATCTGAATCAGGGAGAATATTTCACTTTCTTTAACATTGCAGCATAGGGAGTTTTTTTTTTACATTTTTACTTTTTTCCTAGCAAATACTCTATGGATCTTGATGAAAATCATATAATTAGTGAACTGTAATCTACGAGTATGTGACATTTGGTACAGTTTGATTGAACTGAAGGAGAAATTTGGGCCTTTGTAGTGGTATACCAAGTGCCATTCTAGTTTAACATTTTTTCAATCGTAACATATTTTTCTTCATGATCCCTCTTCCTCGTCTGGGTCAGGAGGGGTGAAGGGTGACATCCTGGCATCTCTGGCCCCTCCGGTACATCTGTCAGGGGAAAGGCTGGGCTGGACTCTGCTGGTTTGTATGGTAGGTGACTTCAGGATGGGACACCTGGAGGTCAGCTGGAGGTCACCGTCAGATGACGACAAGACTATCAAACCACACAGCATTGCTCTGAACAAGAAGCATCGAGGCCACAGCGCAGTGTCCATAATCACAGTAGTGACCAGCGACTGGCCGTCTTATCGTTGCTCCGTGAGTCACAGACGACACCCTAGAGTCGCCAAGCGACACCACATCACGTCAGCAGGTAGTAGTACAGCTGCACTGTGAACATATTGGAGTCTTATTGTGCTTTACTCTAAGATCTTGAAGTATTTCAAATCATCAGGTGATCAAGACGAGATTTGCAATGAAGATGAGAAGATGGAAGGTAAATTATTTTCTTGTTTAAACACAGATGTTACAGAACAGATGTTGTTCCTCATGCTAGTCTGGTGTGGTTTGATCTGCAGATGTTGATGTGTGGACTAACGCAGTGGTTGTACTGTCGATGAGGATGCTTCTCATTAAGAGCATTGGCTTTAACACCCTGATGACCTGTTATGCTGTTATTAAGTGGTAAGAGTCTGTGGATGAAAATATGATTGGTTTAGTTTATATATAGATTAGAATAGTATATTCTATTGTCTACTAGTGTTATAAACCATAAGCTTTATATTTTACTTTTTAGATGGAGATCTTCTGACATGTTATATGACCGTGAAAAGAAAAGTGTCCCATGGAAGGGAACCTTTTTCATGTCTGAAGTCCACACAGTGAGGATTTCTTCACTGGAACATCATAGGCATGGTCCTGTCATCCTACGCAGAGCATTTTGGACATTGGACATCTTGGATTGAATTGGGAAATGATTCACAGTGATGATCAAAGGAGAAGCAGCTCTCAAATGCTTCAGATCTCGCGCCATTTTCAGCTCTTCCACTCCAGGTGTTGCAGAATTTGGCAGTTGAAAGCAGATTGTGTGCCTGTTTAAGACCTAACCTCAGACAGATGGGTTAGTGTGTGTGTGTGTGTGTGTGTGTGTGTGTGTGTGTGTGNGTGTGTGTGTGTGTGTGTGTGTGTGTGTGTTTTCCTTTTAATTACCTCTTTCCACCATAAACACTGATCTTGTCAGGACCTGTAGTTCCCATATGGACCAAAGTCAAGTCCTAATGAGGTAAAAGGTCACTTTCTAAGTTCCTGGTTAAGGTGAGGGGTAAATTGTGGTTATAGTAAGGCTATAAGCATGAAATTGTTATGGTTAGAAATAAGGTTTGGTTTGGCTGTCCACAATGCATGGACAATAATAAGGATGGCTGCATAAACCTGCATGTATGTGCGTTTGTGTGTTCAAGGTTTTTTCATCAGGGTTTACTCTTTTCTATTTTATTTTACTTATTCTCATAAATCCAAAATTAATAAACAAGAAGTATGCTTTGACCATTTGGACTTTATTGTTTTTTAAATAAAACACTTGCACACAGTTTGTTTCCTTTTTCTTTTTTTTTTCATAACACACATAGCAACATAGCACCACTAGGTGGCAGTACAATCACATCTGACATTATTTTTAAATTATTATCCAACAGTAAGAATATGGAGCTTTACTTCCTCTACAGGAGACTACGTTCATAAATAATTAAGTATTTCAACACTGACCAGTCACTCCGAACCGAACTGACACTCACACGTGATGTAAGAGGTCACAATGCCAAAAAAACAGATATTAAGCTTATATCGCCAAACAAGTGGGACATAACTATACAGGCTGTTACATGTTAAGAAAGCTCACAGTTGAAGGGATTGGCATTTCTACCAGGTATTAAATGGCATTCATTTCCCACTATACAGTGCTGGAGTATATGTATCGGAGCAGACTGTGTGGTGAAGTTTCCTCAGTGATTTGCAGTGTTTTGTCTACACTCCAGTATTGTACACATACGTCATTAAGGAGCAGCTTGTCAATTGTGGCAGTAGGAGAAAAATAGTCTACAGTAGCAATTTAAAAAACAGGGGAGAGAGGGACTGCGAGGAGGGGGAGTAGGAGGAGGGTGCTGGTTTGGAGGTGAGTTATGATTTCTTTTCTACATTAAAAAAATACACCATCCGTCTTTGGCTCAAATTAAAACAACAAAGAAAACACTGAGAAGCAAAACATGAGCCAGTATCGTCACAGATTCAAGCATGTCACCAATGACGCACCCATACACACTCACAAGTACACACACACACAAACACACATTTGAAATCAGGACTGAGGAAACACAACAAATTCATAAAGCAAAAAATAGCACTGATGGCATTTGCTGTGACAATGTTCATAATACATTCAACAGAACAACTCACAATGACCGACTTTCAAACAAGACACTGAGTCAAATCAGCTACTGGAAGAGTGATTAAATTTGACAGAACTGGCAGCTCTTTGTGATCAACTGACTTTTACTTTGAAAAGATCAAAGAACAAAATTAAAGCTAAAAAGAATCCACTGGAGCTTTATGGTGGAGGAGAGCAAGTGGGAGGAAGAAACACTGATGTGGATTAGTTTTCAAAAAGAAAATCAAAATAAAGTGCTTGTGTTAAAACAAACATCCTCTGTCTGAGGTATTAAAGAAAAATCACATCAAATGGCACAAAAAAACACTATGACATTACACTGTGCACTGATGACAAAATTAACTATATACAGTCTGTAGTGTATATCCACACACTCAATTCACCTACTCATCAATGTCTGTGTTATTGTCCATGGGTTCCTATCCAAAGAAGAAGACAAGATTGTGTAAGCCATCATCACATCTCCTGTGTTGTTTACCTCCAGAGGACTGATTCTAGCAGGTAAGATGCAGTCAGTATCTGCTGCGCCCACTGGGAGGGTCTGCCACCTCTTCTACAAAAAAATCTGGATTCTGGTAATTGTCACATCTGCTGTACACTCGCTGCGTGAGAGGAATCAGTGCTCATCAAAAAAAACCTCTGTTTCTAGTGCACAAACATACACAAGCCCGCACGCATGCAGGCACACGAAAAGATTTCCTCTTCCGCTAATACGTCAACACCACACTTAGAGCAGATAGCAGGAGCAGAGTGAGCCGTTTGATAGGTTGGAAATCAGAGTGTAAGGTTGAGGTGGCCGAACCGCGGGGGTAGATCCTCCATCTGTCCCGGTGTGGGTGAAGACTTTCCATGTCCTTCTGGGCGCTGAACGCCGCCACTGTGAAATTAGCATCCCCAGTGGTCAAGAGGTCAAAGACGCAGGAGTGAAAGTAAATGTCCTGCACCTCCAACTTCTCCCTGCAGCGCTCCTTTGCCCCTTCCACGTTGAAAACCTGCGGAGTACCGTAGGGAGAGGATTGAATCTGTGAGGAGTAGCTGGGCCGACGGAGCTGCTGAAGCTGCAGGCCAAGCGGCGGAGGGGAGATGGGCAGGGGGAGGTGTCCCGCCTGGTCGATGCGTTCCCCACTGGGGCAGCCATTCAGACAGAGCTGCAGGTCCTGGGTGGCATCGTAGGCCTGAGCCAGCTCCTCAGGGATCCGCACCGCCATGGTCAGGTAGCGGCCCATCTGGCGAACAATTACAGTCACGCCGATGTAGCCGGCATGCAGCTCTACATGGTGGCCTGGGGTGCGCTCAGAGATCCATAGAGCCCGGACCTTCCCACTGGCACCGTCTGCACCAGCTAAAGAGTGAATGGGTTCTCCACTGCTCACAGTGCCATCATCGAAGGCAGCGGGGAGGTTGTCTGTGATGGCCTGGTAGACCCTCTGATCTGTGCAGCCTTCATAGGGTTTAAAGATGACGGTTATCTGTAGAAAAGTTATAGAGACTTGTTAAGTTTAAAGTGTGCTCAGTTAATTTCAGTTTCAAAATAAATAAATGCAAGAAACAGTTCACAGTTACACTTCCATTCTCTGCGCCAACTGAATGTTTTTAGTCTATTTTTCTTTGCAGTCAGTGTGTTGTTCCCACAGCTGATTGTGTTGATTGATGTTGTCTATGTTAATACTTGTTGGATCTGAACCCTGGCTAAAATCCATTTAGGCTAAGTGGGACAATAAAGACAACCATGAACCTTGTAGTCCATGAAGGACAACAAAGCTTCGATCACTAACAATGGGAGTGGAGCTGAAACAATAAATTCTTTGTAGCAATTCATCTTCCTAAAAAAATCAATCAGGAACTATTTTGATAATCAGTTAACCATTTCAATAATTGTTAACAAAAATGTCATAACAAAAATACCAAATGTTTGAGTATCAGCTTCTCATATGTAAGTATTTGATCATCAGGCATACATTATTTATATTATTGTCATATAAATGTGATGGAAATAACTTATTTTAGGGTTCTTACACATGCCTACATGTAACTAACTGTGGATATTACAACACCAGTATTAACACCAGTAACTACAGTAGTAGTAGTAACACCAGTAACAGCAGTAATATCACTAGTAACCACAGTAACAGCAGTAGTGACTATACTAACTACAGTACCGCCATTAACAGCAGTACCACCAGTACTAACACCACTACTAACGATAGTAACAGCAGTAATGAAACAAGCAACTGGAGTAACACCAGTAATAACAACAGTAACAACAGTAACAACAGTAACACCAGTAACACCAGTAACACCAGTAACCCTAGTAACACAAGTAATAACACCAGTAATAACACCAGTAATAACACCAGTAACAACAGTAACACCAGTAACCCTAGTAACACAAGTAATAACACCAGTAACAACAGTAACACCAGTAACCCTAGTAACACAAGTAATAACACCAGTAACTACAGCAGTACCACCAGTAATAACAACAGTAACACCAGTAACCCTAGTAACACAAGTAATAACACCAGTAACTACAGCAGTAKCACCAGTAATAACAACAGTAACACCAGTAACCCTAGTAACARAAGTAATAACACCAGTAACTACAGCAGTAACACCAGTAATAACAACAGTAACACCAGTAACCCTAGTAACATAAGTAATAACACCAGTAACTACAGCAGTAACACCAGTAATAGCACCAGTGGCAACAGTAATAACAACAGCATTACTATAAGGTCCTTTTTCACAATTTCTTTTTACATTTTTTGAATAATACTCGTCAAATGTATCAATGTCATATCCACTTGAAGCAGTAGTTAACTGTTTAGTTGATCAACACAATTTATCTACAAATAATTTGATGGCTTATCCTTTGAATAAAAAAAACACAAAGAGGACATTCACTGGCGAAGATTTGTTGCTTCTCTCCATTTTGCATCATTATAAATTGAGTATTTTTCTTTGGGAAAAACTTTTATCGACTCCAAGATTTGTTAGTTATAAATCACAAGATTGGATAAGGAAAATTATCATTACAGCCTTAAGTAAAGGGAATCTTTTGCTCTCTCTCTCTCTCTCTCTCACACACACACACACACACACACACACAAATATCAACTCTCACCGATTACACAGGATATTGACTCTCATCACACAACATTTGAGAAATGACTAAATTACTTTTTAACAAGTTGTAATTTGACACAGCTATGCAAACATGCTGACACACACACACACACACACACACATATATATAAAACACATAGGGTGCCAGTAGTGAGTGGAAGCAGTGGTGGATGCAGGGTGTGGTGTGAGCATTACGGTTAGCACTAACATCATAGTTCCGGTGAATGGCTGCTTTGTTCACATGACAGCTGTGAGGAATGAGGCCTGGCAGCCCATTAAGCTTAGAGGGCTGTTAATGTGTGTGGTTTTTTGTGTGTGCGTGTGCGTGTGTGTGTGTGTGTGTGTGCGTGCGTGCGTGCGTGCGTGCGTGTTCCTAATAATCATGACTAATAACCTGCCCCACCTCTGACACAAGGTTAGACCTTCAGCTCCACTGTATAGCAACCCTACTACTTGCTTAATACATGCGTGTGTGTGTGTGTGTGTTGTGTGTGTATGACTGGGTGTGTATGTGCTTTAATAATTAAAACTATCGACTAAACTAGAGAGGGTAGTAGACCATCAGGGAAACATCAACATTGCTTCTTTAACACCACAAAGATGACCTTGTATGGCTTGTCATCCATTTGGTGTTTGTGTGTGTTTATAAGTGCATGTGTGTCATGCTACACAGATAAGGACGTATATTTTACATTAGTGCTTTAAGCGGAGTGTAAGAAGGGCCACGAGTCAGACAACACATGCGCACGCACTAACACTTGAGAACACATGCGTAAGTAAACAATAAGTCCTTTCACACATTTCATTCCATGTTATTAAAGGTCATGCTATATGCAGCCATTAACCAAGTTAGGTTTCCAACACTGCTTCAGTCAAAAGAGTCACAAGATCGGACTCTTTTCCTCACATCTGTGAGTCAGGAGGAAAGAGAGAAGGAAAAGTAGAGCTGGGAGAGTGAGGGTGTTTTTCCAGCTTCATGTTGATAAGATTTCTTTCTCTGAGACACGGGAGGGTAACGTAGATGTCATTATAGAAGCACACACACACACACACACAAACACACAAACACACACACACAGAAAGATATAAAGTAAATTACAGCAGCTGCTCTCACTTAGGTAACTCTTTCAGTCTTAATGACACCAAATTAGTCCACAGAAAGCCCACTTATCTGTGTGAGTGTGTGTGTGTCTGTGTTTTCTGCAGTCTCTCTGCACCAGTGAATTCCTCACCTTATTGGTTGCTGTGGCACTGGAGCCAGGAACCACGGGAACATTAGTGACCTGCACGGACAGATAGTCATTATCGATGAGAGGCCACGCCCCCTCCACCTTACAAGTCTGGAAACTGTCCTTAAATGTCCTCAGGTGTGGGTCTCCGAACAGCCCGCAAAACAGGTATGCAGGCGGAGAGTGGCCGTGGCTGTGAGAGGTTGCGTGCGAATGTGCATGCACGTGGGAGTGAGTGTGGGCATGCTGGGTGCGACTGTGGTAGCTGCAGGGCTCCAGGTGGACCTCGGGGTGTGTCGAGGAAGTGGGCCCATCTCTGGAGCAGTTCCTCTGGCTCATGAGGTCTGAGATGCCTAGCACGGCCGAGTGAAAGACCAGGTTCCCCCGGCAGGACTTGGCCGTCCTCTGGGTGCAGGCCGAGTACGCGCGTAAAGCCTTGCAGAATTCAGTGTGAAAGCCATCCACAGCCGGCGTCAGGTGGGAGGTCAGGGAGACGAAGTCGGTGGTGCACTTCTGGATACGACACTGAGGGGTGGCCACTTGACACTGACCTGGAGAGGACACACAGTTTGTCAGAAATACTGCGAGAGTGAGATAATATTACAGTAATCCAAGTGGGTGACTGGCTGAAAAACAGACAGAGAAATACGTCTGATAATTTAAAAGTGAGAGCTGGTTCTCACTGGAAATGGGAAGTCAATCACAGAAGACAACTGAGGTCGGCTTTGGAAGACAGAAAACTTTGATCTTAAACACACAATGCTACCAGCCTGTTACAATCCAGCCTCATAAAATAGGAAAAAGAACAAACCACTTGTTCAAAGTCTTGATCAATCAGCAGAGCCGCTCTGTGAGTGTAATAAACCTTAAGTGTAATAAACCAAAGAGCAGCCGGAGAGAAAAGATAAAGAATGTTTTCCCACAAGGAGTTAGATAACACTGCTTATACAGGAGCAAGTGAGAGAAAGACATTTATAAATTCAGTAGGCAGAGATAAGTGGACAATACAAGGTGTGCCTTGCATGCATTCATACTCCCGTGACTGTAAAGATTATTTTTCTTGACACCTTCCTAGATTAAACTCTGTGGTCAGTCTTGACATGCAGAGTCAAAATTCCCCTTCATGAAGTTAAAAAAGCAGCTTTTCTTACTCAAATGTTTGTTTACAGCCATAACTGTGATCAGCAGACCAGGCCAGAGTACTGCATGTGTCCTAGACGGATTATTCTGCCCTTGTGAAACCATCAAGAACCAATTTCTTGGTCTGAAAATCGTCTGTGATGTTTTATCTGTTGCTACGTTTCTGAATGTAACGAGGGTCAGACCAGCCTTTTCTATCATAGATCATCAGAGAGAGGGAGTCAGAGCAAGAGAGAGAGATTAGAGACCAGACCTAATGCATCAGTCACAGTGTGCTCCTATTAAATTAGACCAGAGAGAGAGAGAGAGGGGGGGAGGTTCTGCAGTGTATGGGCAGCCACACACACAAACATACACAAACACACGCATACAAATAGCTATAGAAAAAATGCTGGACGTGTGTTAAATGCGCACAGTCCCTGATTTGTTGTAATGGAAACGCATAAGCAGAAAGTACACGGTTCTTCACTGAAATCAACAGATTCCTTTAATGTCACAGAATCTCTTAACAACCATGAGTTACCACTGACACATAAACACACACATACGCAAACAGCACATTCCAGCTCTTCTGTGTACATTTATTTGATTTCACTGGCATGAAGGAGTTGGATGACACCATTTGGGGGCAGTAGTGCTCTGAGTTTTACAAATCAGGGTGCAGGTACGGACCCCCACTCCCTCACACTGTGCTTCAGAATCTCTCCCCAGCCTGTTAAATACTGACACCACAAACACTCCCGACACACACACGGACTGCCGTCCATGCCAACCACCGCTGCACAGACGGTCTGAGCACTGAGGACACATTGTGTGTTTGACTGGCGCACCAGCAGCCTCCGTCTCTCCCTTCTATCTGCCCCTGTAGAACCTAAATGCTGCTTCCAATCTAATCAGAGTGGGTTTTTATTCTCTTTCAGAGGATATCAGAATCTGGAGCCGCTCTGAAAACACACACAAAAGCTCTCATTCACTGACATTGTCCCCAGCAGGGTGACGTAGCGAAAAAAAAAAAAGGGCTGATGACCCTGTCACTGAAGGATTTCAAACCACTGACTTATACAAAGGTTAAAAGCTCTGTGATGACAAGTATCTGCTGAAGTTTCACACCAGCTCTCATTGTGCTTCTGCTTTTATAGCTCGCCCTGCACTCTCCCCTTGTGAATGCACCAGGATTTTCATATGATGTTCTGAATCAATATTAAAGCGTAATTTTCATACTTAAAGGCTTCCTCATGATCTCCCTTTTGTGGAGTCGTCCTCCTAAGTGTCCTCTCTGACTGCACATAGCAGTACTGTCAAAAGAAAATCCCAGCTGATGTTATGGAGAGGAGATTTTTGGTAAATGGAGCCGTGGTTGTGAGCTGAATTGACTTGACGGTATTGTTAAGGAGAGAATAAAGAACTCCACGTGTGAAGGCCTTTCAATACATGCACAGCCTGGTTTGTTTCAGCCCCAGGGGCAAATATTTAATATAGTCACAAATGCTCACACCATCACTTCCATGTCCTATATTAAACTCTCTATTTCACTCCATCCCCCTCTCCCAGCTGACCCTATCATCTCACAGGCCTCTTCTCTCAAGCATCAGCTGCTCCAACCTGCTCAGATCAGATTCTTCCCCCCCAGTTTGAATCATTTGCCTCCATCAGCACTACTCTGTTTTCAGCCTCATGGCCTTTCAACCCTATTCCCAGTCTCCTCGCCATTTCTCAGCCTCTCCTCTCTGCATCCTTAGGCTCCCTCGCCACCATCACACAGAGGTCAAAAGCTCCGACGGCTGAATCTCCCACGGTTCTAACCGGTTCTTTGTCTCCCCATACAGATGCCTGCAACTTCTCAGGTCTCTGGAGATCTCAGAGGGATCTACTGGGATCATCTCTCGGCTGGCAGAATGGCTTGTGAAGTGCTTATTGATCACCTTGTTGTGTGCACTCTCTCACACAAACAGCCCTCCAAGCCTTTGGTGATACAAAGCTTTACAGGAGCTCACTAAAGCGTGCACTCTCTCTCTCTCTCTCTCTC